CAAAAATAAGCATATTTACAGAACTGTAAAAACTCCAAAACAGTATACAAACATGCTATAAATGCAATGCAAAATGAGACTCAAAAGAGGCTATAACACAAAGTATGCAAAGCATTCACCAAACAGCCCAAGACCCTTAATGAAACATGTTAAGAAGGTCAAAATAAGACTATTTCTAGGCCTGTAAAAAGACCAAAAACAGAAGCATGATAGGCTGCCAAAGCATGCAAAAATGGGGACCAAAAGAGAGATATAACATGAAGTGACATATGGAGGTCCCAAACAGCGACAAGCCCTTCTTCAATGTTGAAGAGGGGCTCAAAATAAGCCTATTTACAGAACTATAAAATGCCCAAAAATGGAAGCATAATGGGTTGCCAAAGCATGCAATAAAATTGACATACAAGGGGATATTGAAGCAAGTGCAATATGGGGGCCTCAAACAGGGTTGAGCCCTTAATGAAACAAGAAAATGAGTTTTAAAGAAGGCCACTTCCAGTTTTGGTCAGAGCTCAACTCAGCAAGCATGTATGGCTTAAAGATGGTGCCAAAATGAGCTAGAAAAGAGGGCAATTGGACTTACCTTTGAAGACCAACACTTTTGTTGCTTCTTGGACCAGATTTGGTGACTCTAAGCTGCTGGAATCCCCTCCTTTTCTGCTGGAATGGAGTGGTGATGGTAGAGCTTGAAGATGATGAAGAAATGGAGCCCAAAACTTGAAGGAAATGGGGTGATATGTATCTATCTCCTCCAAGCAACTCTTGTAACCCTTTCTCTAGAGTTGGGAGGCTCTCTATATGGATAAGAGATGGAGAGAAGAGTCTAGCCAAAGTGGAGGGAAAATGAGCCCTTTTTTCCCTCCAAAAGGGTCCCCCGGATGTAGATATTTTTGGGGGAAAACCAAGGCACAGCTGGAATGTACTCAACCTGAAGAAGCAGGCCGGCCTGACATTTTGGCTGCAGGTGGCCGGCCGGCCACTTCCCCTAGCTGGCCGGCTAGGTCAAAGGAAAAAAGTGGCCGGCCGGCCAGAAAAAGTGGGCGGCCATCCCCTAGGATGAAGCCCCAGAAGTTATCTTTCCAATGGCGCAAACCTTGCATTAAAATTCCTCCTGTAGAAAAAGTTATGCCCTTTTCCGTGAAGCCGCGCAGATTCGGTCCAAGCGGACTTCAACCAACCACATCTCTCCCCCCCGGACTTGGAATTGGGATATTCTTGAGTGCAAAATGAAGCCCTGGAAGTAATCTTTCCAATGGTGGTGGCCTCATATCTTAATCCTCTTGTGCAAAGATTTACGCCCGGTTCGGTGAAGCCGCACAGATTTTTCTCCTTCCCGGATTCATGCTGAACCACTTTTGACCAAAAAGAAGTTGGCTTTTCAGCAACATTGCTAGCCTCCCACCCTCCTACAAGCTTTCTAACAGTGAAAATAAGGTCTCCACCAAAAATGAGCCCAAACCGATGCAAAATGAAGGTTCGGGGGCCGAAACGCGCAGCCCGAGACCCCGAAAACTGGCTGTTAGACACCGGGAGTGGTGTTCGACCACGAAGTGGGTCTCTCAGACCTCAATGTCCCTCAAAAGGGAGAAAATAAGATGTATGCAAAAAATCAGAGCAAATGGAGATGGTTAAGCGGTCCCGAACCGAGGCACACGGCCTGACGGTTCCGAAAACCGGGAACCGGGCTCCGAAAATGGGAAAAATGGCCTACAGCCACAAAATGTAGCCCACGGCCACTGAGAGATGGTCTACGGGACCTCTCCCTCCCCTCAGGAAAAGAAACAGAGAAAATCGAGTCTGGTTCGCAAACCGAGGCAAGGCACAGAAGAGGGTTCGGAAATCCGGAGGCAGGGCTCACGGCCGCGACTCTGAGACTTCTGAACGAGCGTGATATGCAACATCACCAAGCGCTCAATTGGTGACGTCTGAGTCTTAAGGTCGGTCAAAAATGGGGTGTCTACAAAGACGAGGTTGAACAATTGAAAAGGATGAAAGAGAAACAAGCTGTGGATATAATTGGTGGTTTCACTTGCATGTTCAAGGTGAAGGATGACAAGTTTAGGAAAATGGTGGAGGAAAACTCGGAGTTGCGGAAGACAATAGGTAGACTTGAAGACCAATTAGCCGAACAAGCTGTGCACAACGTCACACAGGCATTCCGAGGGATGGGTGTTGGGTGTGATGATGGGATTTGTTGTGTTGGGATGGAAACAGCAGATGTGCATACATCGTTTGGTGCTGCAGGAGTGCATGGTGTTGGTGCGATTGCGCAGGACGGGGGATATGTGAGGATAAGTAATCAGTACCTGCCTAGCGTGCTGGGTGGTGTGACGGGGGCAGCAAGTACACAACTCCCGGAAGTTGCTGTTGTGGGACCAAGTATGCAGTCAAGCGACCGGATTGAATGTGGGCAGAGCACTTTGGTGAGGAACATAAAAAGTATGGTGAGGGGGGGACATAGGATGTCTGATTTTGCATATCTGGCTTCATGGAAAGTATCACCAAAGGTGACCGTTGCGGATGATAGTAATGTGGTAGAAGTTACAAGGTTTAAGGTCGTATGTGGGGCGGAGAAGAATGTGATTGACGTCGATGCGGTTACGAAGAGTGGTCGGCAGTGGTCCGGGTTTGACATAAACAACCACCTCTGAGTGTAGAAATTGATGACTATGATGGAGAAAGAGAAGATTAAGAATGCGTATACAGAATATGGCGACCGGTATGTTATACTAATTTGATTTGATTGTGTTTCGAGTTATGCATATAATTGTGTGTCATGATCGTTATGTTGTCTGTAGGGCGGTGATGTGGCATGATGGTAAACACGATGTGGGTGTTTATTTTTCGGACCTGAAATCACTCATCTGCCCAGCGTCAGTGCGTAGCAATGTGAGTGATTGTTTTGCGATAAATGTATTATGTAGTGGGCATATGGTAATTGTAGTGAGTGTTTTAGTGGATTGTCATTATGTTGCAGGTAATCAACGTGTACGCAATATTGTTAATGGAGGAACAAGAACAAAGGGCTACTGGGGTGGAGTTTCCAGATAAATCACACATTGTTAGCAGTATATGCCTTCAAGTTGGTAATTATTATTTATAATTTTGAGATGGTGTTGGTAGCTGTGGGTAAATACTAAAATTGGGTTGGTAACAATGCAGGATATGTTGCGGAACGACAACACCGATGTGAGGGATAGGTTTGTTTCGGACATTTTGGCAGCCTGTAAGAACTATTGGTACATTCATTTCCCGATTTGTTGTCAGGCTCATTGGACTCTCGTGGTGTATGACACCGAGAGTGGAGAGTGGAAGCATTATAACTCTATGAGGCCCTGTGTTGGGATTGAAGACAAACACTTTAGGGAGACGATGTTTGTGGTGAGTTTTTACAAATTATGTGTGTTTGGTTGCTTTGTTGTACGTACTGTATCGTGTTTTGTGGTTTAGTAATGTATGCGTCGTTGTGTGGCAGAGGGACACAATTCTTGAAATTCAGAAGGACTTCATTTCTGGGCCTGTTGAGGATGACAAGACACAAGTTGGTGACACTCCGTTGGAGTTAGTCATTGATTGTCCGCAGCAGAAGCCTGACTCGTACGCATTATGTAGATTGAAAATCCATACAGTATAGTGGTGTGGATGTAATTTATTCTGAGGTTGTATAATTTGGCTAACAAACTTTGTTTTTTTGATGTCACACAATGCAGAGAGGACTGTGCTATACTGTTGTGTGTTGTGATGCGGCAATACGTCCACCATGTTGATGTGTTCTGGTCGCTGCAGGGGGATAATTGTGTCATATTGCAGGCAAACATGGTGAAGGGTTTTGTGAACAATCGTGCGAGAGGGCTAAAACAAGTTTTGTTGACTGCGTGACAGTTTGTTTACGGTGTCTTTTTGGTCGTCGTTGTTTTCAATTTGGCATAATACGTAATGGTTTACATACATGACAAGGGTTGCATCGTTTATGTTTTTTTGGGGTTTCCACGCACGATATGAAAGTAATTTTGGTTAGTGGTTGCTGAATTTTTAATGTTGGGTGAATTGTTTAACTCAACTTTTATATTATAATTAATTTGTGGCCATGTCCATGTGTTTATGAATATGATGCGAAGAATGACGGGGGTCAGTTGGACAAGTAGGTGTTGTTTATGATTTTTAAGTGTGTATGAATATAGCATGTTTTTTTTGTGTGATCTTATGTTAATATGAGCGACCAATATGAAAAGTGCATTAGATATGCAATGTAAATTTATTTTGAGGGTGTGTTCCACATGTTAGATAAGCAAACGCTGAGAAGTGTATGTAATGGATGCATTTGGTCGGTCGCAGGCATTGTGTGCGATGGTTTGTTTGTATTTTGTTTGTTTTTCTTTGAACTTATTACGTACGCATCTGATGTGTGAAATTGTGTCATGTTAGGGTATGTGTGTCCAACAAAATCTTACATAGATAAATAAGTACAAAAATAATGTAGTTCAATGAGTATGCGTGATAAACGTTATGGTATGAGGTGATATGCTTGTTGGTTAAGGTTATATTGGGAAGTTAATGTAATATTTCAGTTTGTTTGTTTGTTTTTTGTTTTTTTTTTTCGTGGTCATCAATATAAGCATGGTTGGCAAAAGGTGGGCAAAAGGTGGCTGTTGTGTGGTAGTGTATGATGTTGTTTGTCTAAAATCAATCAATTAATAGGACTTTGTGGCCAGGGATGGTGAGCACCCCTACCAGGTATGACAAGGTGTCACACAAAGTTAGGTATATGCACACCCCATGCCTACCGCGTGGGGAATGGTAAAAATTTAGAGTGTACGTAAAATGGTCATAATATATTATAAAATTGATAGGAATGTGGATAAATGTCATTACCACAAAATTGTTTGGAAAAATGAAATGAACTGAAGGGAAATATATGACTATCCCCCATGGTTATTAACTGAAAATGAAACATAGTTTAATTCAAAAAATAGTAAACCCCCGATTCGTGGTTCGAAATGCTAGATTAATTCTTTGCATGTCTTCCTATTGTGGTTTCCCATGCGGCCACACTTGCTACAACGGATTGGTTGCACTTCTTCTCCATGGAATGGTATCCTCTTTTTCTTTGGCTTTCCTGGTGGTTGTTTGACGGTGGGTGGCAGTATGACGTAGTCGTGGCCAGTTGGTTGTGGTTGTTCCATAGTTGGTATAGGCATAATGCTACGGGTGTACGAGAACCGATATTCAGACACATGGAAATACGGCTCGATCAGCGTGCACAAATCTCGCCCACTTCTACGTGCTGCAACAATGGCATGTACGCACGGAAACCCGTTAATCTGCCACTGAAAACATGAACATGTGCGTCGGTCAACGTCCACCATGACGGACGGGTTTGAGTGGAATTCGTACACATTGGAGTTTGATTGGCTTACATTCCATGACCTGTCGGTGTTGTAAGATTTTTCTATTCGCTTTTCCATCTTCGGACATATAACTCTAGCCCATTTATGCAAAGTGTCTCGCCATGTTGACATCTGCCACATTATTCGTGTTCTAATGCTATCAACCAATCTAGTTATTGGAAGGTGGTGGGCCTCGGTAATCCAGTTGTTAAAAGACTCGGAGGCATTGGAACACATCTTGCCATATCGGTTGCCCCTGCGTTACGTGACATTGCCCACAATGAATACAGAATAAGTAAATGTAATAGGGTAGTGCAAAAAAATTGGGTAAGTTTGAAACGAAGTATAAAGTGTGTGGCATGATGATGTTATGCACCTGAAATAAGCGTTAGCCCAATTTTGGGGAGCGAGATCTCGGAGGAAATCAGTCGCAATTGCCTTATCGGATCCGGTGAACTTTCCAACCATATCCTCAAATGTAGAAACTGTTGGACTATATGCACAGTTGTTGAACTTGGTGATCAACCCAATCTTGTGCAAATTATTCATATATTTAAGCTAGTCCTTAAGGTTCCTCTGCAGGTGTTGCAAGCAAAATGCATGGTGTGCAATGGGGAAGATAATGGGCATTGACTCAATAAATCCGACGTGTCGGTCCAAAATGAATGTGAAGGTCCTATCATCACCGGACGCATTTCGGAGGTTCTACAAAAACCATGACCCAGTTTGTTGTGTTCTCCTCTCCAACGATCGCAAACGCTATTGGAAACAGACCTGGTTTGTCACGTGTTGTTAGTATGTTGTGTAATGTACAGGGGCATGTGTGCGACAATGACAGAGGTTGATAAATTTGAAAATACTATGGAAGTGTGTGTTAGTTACCTCGGTTTCCGTCCTTTGTAGTGGCAACAAGTAAATTTCCTTTGAACCTTCCCTTCAAAAAAGTGCTATCTAGGAAAAGTAATGGGCGGCAATGTTTGAATCCGTCAATACATGCCTTGAACGATATGAAGTACCGTTCGGACACGGTTGTCATGTTCATCGCATTCAATGTTGATGTAAGTGCTCGGGTTGTGTTCCATAACGGCCTCATTATACCAACGTAGTTGGTCAAAAGATGCGGAATGTGCACCAAATAACTCGCCCCTAGCTTTTTCGACACCTAGCCAAGCGACGCAATAACTTATCTCAAGCCTGTAGTTCTTTTTCAAATCAAATGCAACATTATTCGGAATTGTAAGAGGCTTGTCACATATACGTTGTGAGAAAATATCGGATACAATATTTGACCCGAGGCGACTATTCTTCACGGTGCGAATAGCGACACCGCAATTGTGCTCCCTATCCCATTTTCGAACGTAGAAAAACCCATTAGCATCCAAAACTCGCGCGTGCACAAACCACGAGCACCCCTTCATGTCACGCATCGAACAGACAACAGTAATTCATACTGGGTCATTCTTCAAGTATTTGAAATTGAACCCACACTCCACCACATATTTGCAAAGGACATTCAGGAAAGCTTGCGCTCCCCCTTCGAAACTTTGACCCACATGAGTAATCCCGTTAGCCCATGGCGCCGATAAGAAAGTCTTTTCCTCATGTTGACAATAATTGGGCAACAGGTTGACATCGTATTCCATGCTCGTAATCCCGACCCCCTGTTTGAAGCCGCGACCACGTGTACGAGGGGCTATTAGAAACACAATCACTGTCCGACACACCACTTCCCCCACTGCGTAACTCAATCATAACATCGATTAGTTGCAGCCGAAATGAGTGGGCAAGGTGAACCATATTCTGCATGTCTACATCGGTTTGTAATTGAAAATTGTTGTAACCCAGAATCTTGAAAATCAAACAAAAATTTTCCGGTGTCAGCCCAACAAATTTGTCGCACACGAAATTGACAAGATCTCCAAATGTGTTTGGTGATTTGAGTTTGTATGTGACATTTGTTGACCGGTAACTGCACAGTAACATGACAATGTTGCCCATCCCTGCAATAAAACATAGACATAGAAGAAAGTGTTGGACAAAATGATAACAAACATGTATAAGACACCCCTGTGTGTGGCATATCAGAAACTAGGAATACATTTCAGTATATGTCACACAACACAACTCACACCCAATCCACCAATCTCCTCTACCAATACCTCTCCCAACACATGATAGTGAAAAATGAAATGGCAGACCACGGCTTGGGATGGATGGCGCACCCAACACCTACTGCATATAAATTAGAAAAGTAAAGGGAAGAAAGCATCGTCGTAACCGACGTCAATAGAATACCTAATGAAATTCGGCAATGGAAAAACTGGTTAGCCCCCTACAGGAAAAGCTATAAGCGATAATATTTCGCCACACTGTAAACACCCCCTATATGAACTCTTTCTATGTCGACTGTGGAAAGAAATTCCCTCTCCACACACGTGATTAACTATAACGTGATCCCTTAAATTGTGATACCCATCAAAGGAAAGGGCAGAAAAGTCCACAAATAACCTAATTCAAATCAAAATAGGACCAACCGATACTACTATTTATACGAATAGGATCTACTGGTGCACATATAAATCGGTGGGACTGAATAGTGTAACTGATTTAGTTGTGGGATTTTTGGATAATTTTCCCATTTTAAAATTCAACTAACATGATGTAATACTATATATTAACAACAAGGGAAATGATACAGACAACAAATTAATGACCAAGAAATTGTTCATCAACACAAGAGATTAGTGGGACCATAACTTTAATTTTAAGAAGAAAAAAACACAATGCTTTGCTTACAATATTTAGGGCGACTCTTGCTGGCCATTTTTAAAAGGAAAAAATGATATAAAAGTTTACTTTTTAGATTCATTTTTTAAACTCAGTGATATGTCAAGAAGATGACTAGTTGATAAATAGAGAATAGTTAATTTTAACCAATATCTTCTCGACACATCATTGGGTCTAAAAAGTGGAAAGAACGGTACTGGTATCCTCTGCTTCTTCAAGTTCGTTCTGAATATGTTGTAGTTCGTCAATGGCAACATGCACATGATTTCTCAGTCTTGGATAGATAAATCTTTCCTGGACAACGTCTTTTAACTTGTTTAATTTCTCTAATAAACTTGAAAGCAGCACATCAACTCCCATGGTTTCTCTCTCATCAATCTCTTCGTAATTGATTTCTCACAAATATTGAAAATTACTAAGTCAACTGTGGATCAATAACTGGTGTGGTGTGGTGTGGTAGACAGCCATCGGTGGTTGATAATGATTTATCCATATTACAAGTTGCTTGGTACAGAGTCCGGATCCTCGGCCGCCCATTTCTGCGGCCCGTCCTGCGACGCCCCAAAACGACGTCATTTTGGGGCAAGATTTCAATTAAAAAAAAAAGAAGACAGAACAGGAGCAACGGAGGGAGAAGAAGATAGAAGAGGGAAGAAGAAAGAAGCAGAGAGGAAGAGAGAGAGGAGAAGAAGAAAGAAGGCACCACCGTTGGCGACAACCTTTGGCCTCCCTTCACCCACGGCGCCACCATCTCCTCGCCATCGCCACAACCCACCTTCCCTTCCTGTTCTTCTTCTTCCTCCTCATTTCTCTCACTAAAACTACTAACCCAGCAACCATCTCGATCTTTTCTCCTCTTTTCTTAGCCGTGGGTATACCAGAGGGAGTTCGTTGGTCATCCTCATTGCCCTTCCCCCCTGGTCGTCCGTTGTCGATTGTTCGCCGTTCACTAAACTATTGAGTCAGATCTATTGATACTGATTGAATTCTTAATTCGAAGTATTTTTTTGGGTTTTTTTACTGGATCTATATGTAAGATATGAACTATTCTCATACACTTTGCTAGATCTAATGTTCGACTGTTTGTATTGATCTAATTTTTATTAATTTTGATTTATCATCTAGGATGTTCAAGTGTTGTTCTGTATATATATACACATACATCTCAGATTTTTGAACCTCAGTTTTTGTTTTTTTTGTTTGAATGGTTATTGGTGTTTTGGGTGTTTGAAGTGTTTGTATTGTTGTTCAAAAATCTGAGATGTATATATATATCTGGGTGTTTGAAGTGTTTGTATATATATCTGAGATCTATGTATTGAAGTGTTTGTATTTTTGTTTGTTTGTAGTGTTTGTATTGTTGTTCAAAAATCTGGTTATTGATGTTCAAGTGTTTGTATTGTTCTGGGTGTTCTAGGTCTTCTCCTCTCTCTCTTCCTCTCTTCTTCTTCTTCTTCTTCTTCTTCTTCTTCTCTTTCTCTTATCTGATTTTGTGTTTTTGTTTTGTTTTGTTTTTTTTTTTTGGAAATTTTGTCCCAAAACGACTTCGTTTTGGGGCATAGCAAGGAACCGCCACCGGAGAAAGCGCTCGTTTGGTACACACCTGAAAAGAGCAGTTCTATGAATCCAAGCACAAAGAATTAGAAGCTAACAAAATTTAAAATCAAAGGTCTAGATTCATTATTAATGATAGGGTCTCACACATAAAACTTTTATTGTACACCATAAATTTAGCATTTTGGGTATTTTCTGGATTTGGTTTTCGGAATCCCTAGACTTTCTACACTGAAAAAGACAGAAGTTAATTTCATTTGTTTTTTTTTTAATCTTTAAATTAGATTTTATTATTTATTTATGGGGGAATTGCCAAAAAAATGGTATCTAACACAAAATAATTACAATGTCATGAAAGTACAAACAATTTATGCATTAGATTGTGCAATTAAGACTTGCACTACCACCTCTTTGCAATTATTTTAAGTTTATACCATTTTTTTGGAAATTGTCCCTTTATTTAATTGAAAAAATTACAAAAAAAAAAACAGGGTTTGATTATTATAACATAATAAATTCTTAATTTTTGATTTTATCAATTTGAATATTGATCTTTTGATTTGTTGTCAATCTAAACTATTTGCGTATTTTTACTAAATAAAACTGATGAGAAAAAAAAAATATTTTAGTTATTAAACTCAATGAAAAATAGTGTTTTAAATATTTTATGTACATCTATATTGAGTTTACAGAAATGATAGAGACCCATTTTTTCTTGACTCCCACAAACCCCACAGACACATGTCCGTGAGTGATAGGAGGAAAAAAACAAAAAGTAAAAAGTTGGCCAATCCCAATATATTGGGAGTGGTGAGGGTCAAGGAAAAATGAGATCTCAACCTTTTTCCATTGAGTTTAATGACTAAAATGTTATTTTTCTAGTTTGTTTTATTAACGAAAATAGGTAAATAATTTATATTAAAAACAAATCAAAATATTAAGATTTGAATTAATAAAATTATAAACTCAAAATTTATTTTATTGTAAGATTCGAGCTCAAACATTTTTTGTGTAATTTTTCATATTTAATTTTAGAGCAATTTTAATTTCAACTAACATGATGTAATACTATATATTAACAAGAAGGAAAATGATACAGGCAACAAATTAATGACCAAGAAATCGTTCATCAACGCAAGAGATCAGTGGGACCATTACTTTAATTTTAAGAAGAAAAAACACAATGCTTTGGTTGCAATATTTGTGGC